ATCTCTCTTTATTTTTAACGTCTTATATAAACTCCTTTTTTAAAATTTGAAATAAAATAAAACAAATAGAAAAATCATGGCCGGAGAAGATTTAATTCCGTCTTAAATTATAAGACACTCTTAAAAAAAATTTAACGTCTCAAAATATAAGATACTTTGATAAAAATAAAGTTTTATTAATAATACTTTTTAATATTATCCTTATCATATACTCTCTCTCCTCAATATTATTTCATCAGTGAAGTATTAAATGAGAGCATTTTTAAAAGTTTATATTTTTATCTTTAAAAAGATAAAGTTGTAAAGTGTATTTAAGAAGTTTTATTAATATGTGAGAATTTATCTAAAAATATCCTATAGTTTGAGATGGGAGGAATAGTATTTATGGTATTTGGCCACAAATGAAACCTATTACTAGTAATTAAATTTTTATTTACAATTTTTCTATTATTTGTCCTCATGTTGGTAATCACTGAAAGATCATCAAAGTCATTAAATATTTTAGGTGATCATGTAAAATTTTGTTTTTTTTTTCTGTCCATTCTTATCATCAATTAAATGCCACAAATTTTAGATAACAAAAAAGAGTAACATATACTCCCTCTGATATAAATTATAAAACACTTTCAATCATATTTTACATACTAATAAAAGTAGTTATTTTTTTTTATTTCTTCCTTGAAAAAATAATATGGCTTTCAGTTTTTGCCCTTAATCCGAATGAGAAGAAGTATTTAGTCAAAGTTTATACTTTTAGACTTCTAATTTTACTTTGGTCTTGTAATTTTATAAAAATTTTTTTTTAATTTTTTAATTTTAACACCGTTAGTTTAATGTCAGAATTTTTGTTAATGAAACTAACAATAATAGGGTTAAATGATTGAAATTTTTTTATAAAATTAAGAGATCAAAATAAATTAAAATTTTAAAGTTTAAAAGCTTAAAGATGAATGTTAACCCTAGTCAAATTATATATGTTTCTCATACACACATTAGTTAATACAAAGATAAATTTAAAAAAATAACTTTGAAAGTAATAAGTGTTCTACATTTTGGATCAAGTTTAGCTGGAAAAAATCTCGAACAATTTGGACAGAAGAATCTTTTATACGGGGTATTTTCTAAGATATGACATATAATTACATTTAGATATTTGTACTGAGGTTTACTTAGGGGTCAAAATTAAAAATATGAAAAGTGAGATCCATGACAAGATATATATACTACGTTCACACACACACTACGTTCCTGGAGAGAGAAATTAATTGGTTGTCAAAAAAAAAAAAAAACAGAAAGATAGAAATCCATTTGGGGAGAGAGAGAGAGAGAGAGAGAGAGAGAGAGAGAAAAGAGAGAGGAAATTAAAGATCTTGAAGGACTGTTAGATGTATGAGGCTTATCTAATAAGGACCAACTAACGAGCCAATGTTCAAACCCACCCAGAGATCCCTTGTCGTGCAGGAAACTCTCTCTCTCTCTCTCTCTATATATATATATATATATGTATGTATATAGAAGTGATATATATACATGCAATAGCTAGCCAGCCAAGCTAAATCATTGCTCATTCAGACCTGCGACAAGCTCATATCATCATCACTAGCTACATGGCTTCTACCACAGAAAAGCCTGCCGACCCTGAATATAGGTCTGAGGCGGCGGCGCCGCCTACTCCTCCTCCGGCGGGCTTGTTGGATTACTTTCAGGCGGACGTGGCTCTGAGGTTTCTTCTGTTTGCGTCAAGTTTGGTGGCGATCGTCGTGATAGTGACGAGCCAGCAAACAGAGCTCGCGCCAACTCAACCGCTCGGAGGGCCTCCTCTTGTGCCTAAGCCTGCTAAGTTCAAATACTCTCCTGCCTACATGTAAGCTAAGCTCCATCATCATCATCACCATCACCATCACCATCATCATCATGGTGTATGTGCGTGTGTGAGATAGTGGTATCAGATATCTGGGTTTGTGGGAAAAAAGTTAACAATCCTACTTATAACTGAGGGTGTGTTTGGTTTTAACTCAACTAGGGTTTGATTTGAATGGTCCAAACTGGGATTTGGTTCTAAAACTTCAATTGGATTCAAGAACATCTTGTTTGGATAGAAATTGTAGGAAAATTAAATGGTTTTTGGCTCAAACTTTAAAAACTGTTTTTTTTTTTTTTGGATTTTGGCTTTTTGTGCTTATTTATCAATTTAGTTCAGATTTTTTTGAATTTTCAAATAATGCTTCTTAATTAATTATAGATGGTCCAAACTGGGATTTGGTTCTAAAACTTCAATTGGATTCAAAAACATCTTGTTTGGATAGAAATTGTAGGAAAATTAAATGGTTTTTGTCTCAAACTTTAGAAGCTGATTTTTTTTTTTGGATTTTGGCTTTTTGTGCTTATTTATCAATTTAGTTCATCTTTTTTTTTTAAATTTTCACATAATGCTTCTTAATTAATTATAGATGGGCTCTTTTTTATTTTTAAAAATTTTAATTTAAAGTTTAATATTTTCTCTTAAAGAGATCAAATTACACAAACAAATATATATATCATAAAATTCATTACATTTTCAATTATTATACGTCCAAACTTGCTTTTCAATTATTAATCATACAAATAAGTATTAGTTTGTTAAAATAACTTTTTAAGGGAAAAAAATATTCAAATGTAAATCACAGTAACTGCTTTTATAACCTAACTACGCATACGGATTCTTTTTAGTTCATTTGGGTGGGTTGAAAAGAAAAATTAAGCTTACCAAACACCTAAAGATCAATGAGTAAGGTGGAAATTTATTATTGAGGAAAGTTATAATTAAGCACTGGGTTTAATTTCATGAACTTCGCTCCAAGTATATCTGTATATATATATTGAAACGACAAATAAAGAAGAGAATTAAAGTGCTCTTTGATTATGGAAAGAAGTGAAAAGAAATAAATTAAAAAAATTAAAATAAAATAAATTAAATTATTTTTTTTTCTCATAACAAACATGATAAAACTTGTTAATATATAATATAAATATAAAAATTATTACACCCTTTAAAAATTTTATGAATTATAATTTTTAATTTTATTTTTTAATCTATTTTATTTTATTTCTTTTTACGTTAACCGAACAAACCTAAAATCTTTGACAAGGTTGAGAGTTTGTCCCTTTGGCTTTTTCATTTTTTTTTTCTTATATAGTAAATGACAAACAGTGGTACAATCGCATATTTGAGCAGCCAGAAGGGGAGTGACAGGACTTGGGAAGAATCCAAAGATAGCTTTTAAAGAACAAATTGCTTTGTTTTTTGGTATTCAATTATTTAACATATTAATTCAGAGAGCGGACTGGAAAAAGGAATATGCAGGCTTTTTCATCAGAAGATGCTTCTGGTTTAAAACACACCTGCATCACTCTGTGCTTCGATCTCATGCAATAATTATCTATTTTGTCTTATCTTTTTGGCCTCTATTTCTACTCAAATATGCGACAAATACATTATATACACACACACACACACTTCATTCTCTTTCTATTCTTGTCTTTCCACTAGAGAATTCTCAATTCGATAATAGGATCTCAACTTCGATTTAATAATAGTTAGGCCTCAAAATTTTTTGCTGAAGTTAAGGTTCAAATAACGTTACAAATAGGAAAAGTTTAAAATATAAAGTAGGAAGGTAAACTTAAAGATACTAGCTTGTGTCTCAAGTAAGGACGTATTTAAAATATTGTTGGTTGGTTGGTTGGTTAAGTGTTGGGTTAAACATATATATATATATATATATATATTCAGAAATTCAAATGTCAAAGTCTTCTGGTATGTTCCATTTCATCATAAAAGGCCATATATTTGAATTTCTGAGTGACACGTTTCAAAGAATGAAGATTTAGAGATTGTGACATGATGTGATAATGCAGATATTTTGTGACGGCGTTCTCTGTTGCTGGGCTTTATAGCATCCTCACCACTCTCGCATCAATCTCAGTCATGTCCAGACCTGACCTCAAACTCAAGTTCCTCCTCCATTTTATATTCTGGGACACAGTAAATTCACCAAACGAACCTTCTTTTTTCTTTTGCTTCAAAGCTTTCTTTAATTTGTATCCACTTAAAAGAATCTGCAACCATATGACATTACTATGCTTTGGCCATGTGCAGCTGATTCTGGGGATAGTGGCCTCAGCAACAGGGACAGCAGGGGCAGTGGCATACTCGAGTTTAAAGGGAAACGACCACTTTAATTGGAACGAAGTGTGTAATGTGTACGACAAATTCTGCAGACATCTTGCTGGCTCCTTGGCTGTCGCTTTGTTCGGCAGTGTTGTTGCCGTCTTGCTCGTCTGGCTTTCAGCCACTTCCCTTCACAGTCGAATTCCCAAGTAGAATGACGACGACGACGATTGTGTTGTGCTAGACTGCCTGCTTCTTGGATTCACCAAGTCATTCAGTGTGTATCATAATAATAAGTTCATCATAATGTTTGCATCCAAACACTCTGTTCCCTGGGTGTTCATTATTTGTGTAAATGACAGTTATCTATTCTCATGTGACCCCTTATGTATTTTGCATTCTATTTGAGTTGTAAATGATTTGTAATTATTCTATCTGTATCAGAAACAGACTTTGTCGTTTATATTTTCCAGATAGTTCTTTATCTTGTCACTTAAGGAAGTTATATGATAGAATCTCATGGTCAATGATATTTCTAAACGGTTAATAATTGTGGAGTTCCTCCTCCCAAATGCTTTGTTTTTCACAGATCTAGGAGAGAAAGAGAATGGAGGTGGTTCTGTTCTTGGATCTTAAAGTTTCAATCTGAGTTGCTAGTAATTCAAATGAATGATCAAAATGACAGCCACAAGTCAACAGCTTCCTAAGTTTTTTCTGAAATTTGAACGTATTTACATTGATAATTTTATTGTATGCGACTTCAGTGTTCCTGAACTTACAAACAGTGGTCAAGCAGACCAACAACAGCCAAATAGATAGATACTACGGGGCCACTTACCGGAAACATGCATCAGAACTCAACCTAATAAGCTTAAATATATGACAGCACGTACATTATGTTTTGTTGTGATAAACACTATACAACTATTAGTATTGCAAGGATATGGAAATAAACACCCCTAACCATGTCCCTGGGTGATCTGGGCAGACCAAGGGTTTGTGTGGTGATCTTCTTCGCTGGATATCTGAACACGTAAAACCTCATGAATTGCACCCCGGATAAGCACTGCCAGAAGGTGTTCATCATCATCAGTTGCCAAATCAGCTAATGAAGCCCATCGGGAATGCGACTCATCCCTCATGCGGAAGCCAAAGAACCATCTCCCAAGTTTCCACCACTTGACGCACACATGACGCTCTGCAATCTCACTCACCTGAAGAGCTTCTTTGAGTTGATCACCCTGCCAAGAGAGGAGGTTGGATACCAAAAAGCGAACCATGACATCATTTAAGATTTTCTTTTAGATTCCTCATCCAGTCCTTTAACAAGGTTAGGGCAACACTTTATCTCTATGTGCATTTTTTCTCCGTAGTGGTTTGATATCTGTCTAATGAAGAATGAGAAAAACAATATATATATATATATATGGATAAGACCAAGGTTCTCCCTTAAGTTTATTTGTTTTTTCTATATACAAGGTACAGAACAATTTGGGGAAATTTATTGAGATGTGCTGATAAGACTAAGGTTAAGATATCTACTGTCATGTTTTCATAGTAGAACTTGATAATAAAATCCTAAGGCATTTGCTTTAGTTTTGAATCTTATATGAGTACCATGAGAAGCAAGCATCTATATAATTTAATCCACCTGGCAACCTGGTTTGTGGCCTCATACTGAGGTGTACATATTTACAAGGGGCACGTCTTTCATAATTAAACATTGGATGCACTTCACTACCTTGAAACATTTTTAAGAAGGGCAAAAGAGAGAAAAAGGACTGCAAGATATAATATTGATTGTGATTCCACTTTTTTTGAAGAAATGTTCAGGTATAGGACCATAAAGAACAGGAATGAATTTCTAAACAACAGAGAAAAGCAGAGAGAAGAGAACTAAAATCTCTCAAGATGAGACCTCTTAAATTGAGCTTCTTTTGGAAGCTCCTCAAGAAGCAAACTTGTAAAGAAAGACAAAGGACACAGCAAGTTATATGAAGTTGCATGACCTGTGATGCCATTTCCTTGTAAATGAAAAGTCGAAAATAACTTTGAACCTGAATTTGCAAGAATTGATTAAACCATTAACAAAATTTCAAATAGCCATGCAAAATAAACAATTGAAGCATAACACAAGTTCATTTATTATTAATTTAACTTGGTCCTCAACAGTATGACGAAAATAATATTAGAGCTGCTGCAAAAAATCTGAAATACAGAAATCCACATTTAATTGTCAAAATTAACATTCATCAGTATAACACAAAACCCATGAAACAAACCTTCAACCAGTCCCATAGGAATACTTAGGTAAATCGTACATTGCTTCAGTATCATATATACAAACGTAAACTTTTGTAGTACTATGGCAATAAGAATAACTAAGCAGCAACTACAAAAAAAAAGCATGTACTACAAGGATAATCAAGAAACAGAGAACATTTTCATGTTGCTAATATATTTGCATATATTGAACTATCAATGATATCATGTCCAACTACAGGATAATCCAGAGGCAATAATTCAAGCATGTTCATAGCATCATTATGTACTAACTGATCAAGTCCTAAATGATCAATTTTACATAGTTATAAGAGTAGCTTTTAGTGTTTCTTTTTTTAATCCTCCTTGCTGTATTACGCTGTATAACATGAAGTGAAAATAAAAAGTTAAAGGTATCAAACGTGCAGCCAAGATATAAGTTTAAGGTTCATCACAGATAAAACTTAATAAAACAAAAGGTATTAAGTTTAAAGACATACTCTTTCAACTTAAGTGGAAACCATATTATAGGAATAAACTACAGAAGGATAATTTAAAAAAAAAAAAAAGTTTTCAGGAAAAAAAGCTTCACCCTGGATCCTACTAATGCAACATGAATCATGACAAATCCTAGTTGGCACTGAGTGACACATAATTGATGATCAAACAACTCCTTGGAAGGAACAAGAAAGGGGCTTGATTAGTTAAACTGCAAGTAAAATAATCACCGTATGGATGGAATGATGGGAATACCGGAATTCTAAGCCAAGTCAGGCAATAGTGCAGGCCAACCAAGTTAACCAGCACCTTCAGGTTAGGCCTGAAAAGGCACATCTGGACATCTTTGAAACCAAGCTTCATGTCATCCAAGATGCTAATTGCTTTCAGATAGTCCCCAACTTCGAGTGATTTAGAGGGCGAGCTCTCTTCCACAAACTTGGCAGCAGCTGCTGCTCTAACTGCCACCTCATTGTGCTTCTCGATGTACAATTTCCTCCATTCCTGTGGCCCAATTTCCAAGTAAATACATAATAATAAAACTGGCCCAATCTCAACTATGCCAATAGTAACAGGAAAAAAAAATGAGTACATTAAATATTTATGACCTTAATAGTTAGTCCCATTCCCATTGACCTTGAGTCTATGGTAATTAATACGCGCCCACGAGTTTATTGTTGAATACAACACTCTCCATGGAGTAATACCTTTGTTAAAGGTAAACTGGTCTGACTTTTAGGGCGCAAGTCATCAGCTTACTCCAGACAAAACGATGTGAAACGTTTTAATTTTTTCCATCCACGAACATATGATTAAGACATTAACACAATGATAATTACTTACCTTCGAAGCTCAGTAGGAGCAGGGTAAAGGACCTTGGGTATAGTCTATATATCAATAGACTTGGGTATAGTCTATATATCAATAGAAGTTATTAAAAATGAAAGAAATGTAATAACTTGCGGATGTTGATGATCAAATATTACAAAGTCACAATTCAGAAGCTAAAAGAAGATAGCTGGATAACCCTTGAAAAAATTGGGGATACCTTGAAATTGGGAGCGTTGGGAGGAGCGGAAGAAGAAGACGAAGCAGAGAAATCAAAGCACACAAGAGAAGGCCATCTTTCTCTAGTTAAAGACTCCCAAATACAATCTGAGCCACAAAGTTCCCTCCAAAACCTAGAGCAACAGCCCAAGGCGCACAAATCTCGTACCTTCTCGCACAAACCCAAGGAATCAAACAAATGAAAAGACCAATAATTGGAATTCATGTATGCTATGGTGGGTATAAAATCATACCGAAAGCATCGAAACTATTTTGAGGGCAACATCTCCAGGTAGCGTGTTTTGGATAACTTCGAATTGCTTCATTTCTCTTCGGTCTTCGCGGAAGGACAGCACATGAAGAACGGATCGCTCAGGAGTACGCAGCGAAGGATGGACAACGGAAACGAAATAGATCAAACGGCAGGGACAGTTTAGGGAAAACATTATGATTAAATTAAATTAAATTAAATATTAGTAGTAAATAAATAAGGGAAAATTAATTTTTTAGTCCTTCAACTTTTAACTCACTTGTAACTCAATCCCTCAATTATAACTCGATGCGACTCAATCCTTCAACTATAACTCGCTGCAACTCAATCCCTCAACTTTTGATTTACCTATAACTCAGTTCTTATTTTTTAATTTTTTTTTAAATTTTTTTATCAAATAAGAGAGGTAAAAAAATGCTCATATATTATTTTAAAATACCATCTTCTTATTTATTAATGTGAGATAGAAGTTAACATAAAAAAAATTAACAAAAGTTAAGGGACTAATTTGTAAGTGATTTAAAAGTTGAGGGACTGAGTCATAGGCGAGTTATAGTTAAGGGACTAAGTCATAACGAGTCATAATTGACGAATTGAGTTACAAATGACTTAAAAATTGAAGGATTAAAAAATTAATTTTTTTAATAAATAAATAATAGCAATATGGTTTCTCGATATTATTCATAATACAGAGGGCCCATCTCAACTTTTTTTTAAAAAAAATACACACCTTCAATCAACTATGTTAACTATTGCTTTTGCCCCCCCCCCAAAAAAAAAAAACCTTCTTAACTATTGCAAAGTCCTGTGTGTTTATGTTAACATAAATTCCTAGAATTTTTTAAAATAAACAAATAATTAGTAGTTTTACGTGAGATTTAATTTTTTGAAAAAAAATGTTGTTATTGATTGTCGGACATGATGTTGGCATATTTAATTATTTTTCATCTCTCTTATTTGTTCATCTCTATCTCCCTCTCAACATAAATGCTGTAATTAATGTTGTTATTGGTTATGACAAGTGAACAACCAAACTCTTTATATTTTTCAAGTTGTTAATTAATGAATTCCAGTTTGTAACATTCTAATTTTTAAATAAAAAAAAATTATGAAATTTAAGTTTTTTTTAAAATGATGATAATAATAGGAATTTATATTATTTGAGGTTATTTGAAAATAATAATATGGTTAGACATTTAATTATGAATTAAAAACTTAAGTTTAAAATTATATAAAAAATATTTTATTAAGATATAATTTTAAGATTTTAAAAAAAATATTATTAATGTGTGTGTGTGAGTTAAAAAAAAAGAGAAAAGGAAAGGAAAAAAAAAGGAGAGGGGGTTTAGTTCCACATCGGTTAGATGTGAGAATGAAAGGCACCTCCTCATGTATAAAAAGAGGAGGTGCATTGTGGAGGAAGCATGAAGAATTTTTTATTGTAATTTGTGAAAATTACAATTAAGAGCCCAAGATACAATTTGTAAAAATTGCAAGTAATGGCCCAAAAGTTTGAATAATTAAATTCAAACTTATAGTTTTTTTTAATACAATTTTAGGACTACAATCCCATTTTTATATTATTTTTCTCTTTTCCTCTCACGTTGCTCGGCGTTTTCTCGCAAGGGAGATTATTTTCTTTTTCTTCAGGTATGTTCTAACTTTCTTGTTTAGATTAGCATTTAAAAATTTATTTAATTACAAAATTAATTTTATAATTATTTTATAAATAATATTAGCTTTCTAGTGATATGATTATTTTATAGGATAGAGTAAATATTCTGATTAGGATTTTTCTATATGATAGTTAATCTGATGATATGATGGATTAAAAATATAGGTTAAAACTCTTAGGGATATAATAAATATTATAGAATATTTTTTTGAGGTTGAAACTCATGTTTAAGAATTTTTGAGTTAAAATCTAGATCTATATGGTTGAATTTATGTGGAATCTGAGATGTAGGGATAAACCTATGATTATTAAATATTTATTTAAGTATGAATAGGTATTTTTGAGGTTATAGAAAGGTGATTTGAGGCTTCAGGATAATTCTAAAATTTTTAATTTATTTTTAGATGAATTTTTAGAATATAGAAGGATGAAATTGTGATACGAGAAGTGATTTAAGGATAAAAAAAAATAGTTTATTAGGGTACGAGAATTTTAGAAAAAGAATTTGGGAAGTTAAATGAGGCATAAATCTTAAATTAGTATTAACATGGATTATAGATCTAAGACTTTCTAATTCTTTAAATTAGAGTTATTTATTTTAATGTAAAATTAATATATAGTATTGTGAAATAATTATGTAGATTATATTGACAAAGATAGTGGTGAAAAAGGAGTTGTAAAAGGAAACTTGTTATTCAAGACACAAGATAACCATTATTAATGTGTTGTGATGGTGTGTTTGTGAATGGTTATGTGTTGTTTTGTTATTTGAAAAAATTATGAATTATTGAAAATGAATACTGTTATATACTTCTGTGAAATCATTGCAAGTGGGTTAAAAATTTATTTTTGTTTATCATGATGAGATATTATTGTTCGGATATATTTCTGTTTGGATATTTGAATGCTACATGACTTGTTAGGGTATTTTAATGTATGGTGTTAATAGGAATTTTTGTTCGGTTAATTATTACCACGTGGTAAGCCCTCATTAGACCCAATGAGTGGCGTGTCGCTTGGTCCAACTCACCTTTGGCTGGGTGATTTGACGCCCGAGCATGAGGAAATGAGGATATAAGGTGTAGTCATGTAAATTAAATACTTATTCGGTTTGTTTGAAAATATTGTTCGGTTAAATGTTTTGTGTGCCCACTTAGTAATCGCATGATTAGTTACAACCGCAAGCATCATTACATATTAATTTTTGGTTACTGGGACTTTAAGTCTCATTCTCCGTGGTTAATATTTTTACAGGATCGAGTCTGGTTGAGAAAGCACCAGAGGTGTAACTATGGTGTATGAGACACCATCTTTTACATTGCCTCTTATTTTGGATTATACAATGTATCTTGTGCCAACTTAGGACATATCTTCTTTGTGAAGCATGTAAACTCTAAACCCTTTTATTAAAAGTATTTGTATCACCAAGAGGATTATGTCTGTCCCTCTTGATTTATGATCTGATTTGAATATCATGCCATGAGGATTATGTCTGTCCCTCATGGTTTTAATTGCCTTTTGGATATTTTAAGACTTGCGTTATGTCTTGGATGTATCATAGTAAGAAAATTTTCTACCATGATAATGGTTTTAATAATTTGCGAAAAATCGGTCTGTAAGTTTTGAGGGTGTTACACCGCTTATTAGATGGGGGTTGATACTTGTAAATTAATAAATGATTACTTATTATAACAAGTATTATATTTGTCTCTTCTCACAATCAAATTTTATTATATTTTTAAACTTATCAATTAATAAATAACTGTTTGTTAAAATATACATGATTACTTATAAATTAATAATTAGACACTTGTTTGAACAAGTATATCATTTGAAAACTTAAAAATTAATAAGACAATTTATATTAAATCTTGTCTTATATAACTAAAAAAATGTTGTAACTTGGTAGTTCTAAAACCTTTTGGTGGCCAAGGAGTTTTACGTTTAAACCCTCCTTAGCCATTAAGAGGATTTAATTGGTTGTCAGCTGAAGTTTTGGATGACAATGGTCCAATGTCCGTCAATGGTAAAGAGAATTTAAAAAAAAAAAGTATTATAATTTTTTTTCCTATCCAAAATTATTTTTAATTAGTCCTCTGGTCCAACAATAATATATCAGAATGTTTTGATTCTTTGGGGCTATTAAATTCTTTTTCTTTTGACGTTCTTGAATGTTATTCTCCCTTATTTCAAATGCTATCTACTCTAACTCATATTTTTCCATGTTCATCTCTCATATCTTATTTTTTATTGTCTTTAAATTTGAAATTTTTTCTACTATTCAAATAAAGTTTTTAAAAACATGAAATTTTATATCTAAATCCAAATTCAATCTAAATACTACCTGAATATTTTTTTTAAGCAGTTAGATATACGTCGCAATGGCAAGGTGACTCGAACACACAGCGAGGGAGGGACACAAAAAAACAAATTGGAGGGACAAAAAATGGGCTACTATATGGGCCCATTCACTTTTTGGGCCTAATATGGGCCAATGGACTTGAATGGCATTTTCTCTACAGCATAAGAGAGACATGAGACTCTCAATCCAAAGAAAAGAAGACACTGAGCGAGACGCAAATTAAGCGAAGGTAGATTAGATCATGTATTGAGGCTCACGTGGTAAATCTATTCTAGGTATAGCATCATTATTTTATTCATATTTTTTGGTGAAATTTTTTGTTCACATTTATTTATTCATAAAACTTAAAACTTGAGCTGTTAATTAAAAGTATTTAATTGTTTCTATTCTATCCAATTTCATTGACTGTGAAATCAATTTTTTTATAACAAAGAGAAAATATTTTTTAAAAAATATCTACGTTACTATATTTATTTTTTACAAAAAATGCTGCCCGAATATTATTTTTTTATTCAAAACACTCTCATAATGCCAACAATACCATATTATAACTTGAGTAAAAATAATAACATTAAAAAATGCTAATGAAAAAAAAGGCTACATGAATTTTTGTGAGACTGATTAAAGATTATTTTGAAAAAAAAAATCCTAATTTTTGTTCACTCAAATATACCTAACAACTGTAAAATGTGAGTAAAATATTTATAATTAATTAAGGGGTTTGACAAAGTGAGTGCACGAGTTTGACAAAGTGGTCAAAAATTTCTGATTTCCTTCTTCCAACTAATATAATTGTGTAGCAGCCATGTGTGTGTGTACACACACATATATATTGTAACCAATTAAACGCGCACACACACGCACACACATATTTGTAACCAATTAATTAGTTTGGTCAACTACTCTGATGTTTCACCAACACATTTCAATATCCTTCGGCTTCTCCATTTCTCAAACTGTTTTATATGTCGAAGTATCCATCAATTCCATTTTAATCTGATAATATGTGATATAAAATAATAAAATCTTTGCAGACTGTACTATGTGAATAATATTATTAGTTCTTCAAACTCTAAAGTACACAAGACCATGCGTCTAA